ATAATGCATGTTTTATTTAAAAAAAAGTAGTTTGAATTGTTTTGTTCTGTCTTTGATGCATGCAATTCATTTTGTTTACCCTTTCTGCATTTTTATAGTACTACCTGTGATTCAAGTCACATGAAATTAGACCAATTATACAGCCAGCACAAATGCACATTTGAGATACGACCAGGGCCAAGAGAATGTATACGTGTATGTGTTATATGCATGTACTTGCAAGCCAGTGATGACACCAATGCTTTAACATTCCATTTCCTAAAACTAAAGTTTGTTTATCTGTCAATTAAAACTCTTTGCAAAAAGCTGGCCTATAATAATGCCAAAGATTTTGGTCACCAATTTCCTATGAGACCATTGATTTTTTTTTTTTTATCATGCATAAATGCGGCTTAATGTTTGCATTTGTATATGCTGGCTCTTTTTGCATTTAGTTTCACTGATTCTAACATTAAAAGCAGTTAAAAACTAGCAGTTTTTTTAAGTTTCCTTATTCAGGATAATGGATATATACTATATATATACTATATATAGATATAGATATTATTAGATGTATATTACAAATATTTAGCTTGCTTTTTTAAACAGTAGCTTTGGTTAACATAACCAGTCATGGCTGTGTTCTTGCATTTTCAGTTTCTTGCACCTCAGAAATGGGGGGAGTAAAAGTCCTGATCAGTAAAACAGTTGTGGTGTTTTTTGTTTTTTGTTTTGTTTTTGTTTTTAAAAAAAAAACAGAGGCTCCAGCGTTCCTGAAAATGATCGTCTGGCTTCAATTGCTGCTGAACTACAGTTTAGATCATTAAGCCGACATTCAAGTCCCACAGAAGAACGAGAAGGTGCTATTATAATGATGATTGTATATGAATACTATTTCCCCTAAAATATATTTATCATATCCTGGTAAGGCTTCTGCTTAACTTTTAGTTTGGTATCCTTACTCTTGATATAATTGTGTAGATTTTGACCATATAATATGAGAGTCAGATTTTAGAAACATTTAGAACAGCTTATTTTGTTATTAATTCCAGTCTTGAAACTTACTTGTATGGCACTTTCATTTGAAATTTGCCTAGACTTCAACATTGGTAGCTATGACAATAGCTATAACAACTATCTGACCACAAATAAAACCACTTGAGGATCTGCAAGTTTAAAGACTGAAGAGTTAATTAGCTGGTTGAAAAGAAGGTTTGAAATAGATTTCCCTAGGACAGGGGTAGGCAACCTTGGCTCTTTTATGATTCGTGGACTTCAACTCCCAGAATTCCTGAGCCAGCATGGCTGGCTCAGGAATTCTGGGAGTTGAAGTCCACGAGTCATAAAAGAGCCAAGGTTGCCTACCCCTGCCCTAGGAGATAGTCTTTCTGGGATATATATGAGCTGATGTTGAGAAGGCTGCTACAAACTTGTTGGTAAAGACATTAAATTAAATATCTATGGAGGTATTTTCGAGGTCATGGTTATCCCAAAGGTGTTTTCTTTCAAAAGGCAACTGGACTTTCTTGTTTTGCCTCAGTGACTCTCAGAAAGAGGGCTAACAACCACAGGACTGCAAGGAATATAAATCCTTCCATTGTCCGCCATTCAGTCAGAACTGAAGAAGCTTCTTGGATAAGACGCAAAAAAACTTCAAGCAAAACAAGAAAGTTCAGTTGTCTTTTGAAAGAAAGCATCTTTGGGACATTAAATTAAAGAAAAATACCCAAGGAAAGCATTCACTAGGACGCTATCGCTCAAAGAGCACATATTCTTTGGACAGTAAATAGTTGAAGTAAGCAACCTTTGTTTCATCTGTTGCATCATTTCCCTTTCTGCACATAACTATACAGGCGAAACATGTTTATAAAGCAAATTGCAGTCGTGGACTTTAAAGGAACGGAAGAGCCTTTCCTGCAATTTAGTGCATACGTGAATGCCAATAAGATGCAGACTTGGAAGAGCTCAAACACATATTTTTTGGTGTGGAAGACAATAATACCATCCACCTTTTCTGAAATCTTGGCATATTTGCATCGTCTCCAAAGAGGGAGGAAAAAAAAGATGCTGGGTTACTATCTTTGGCTTTTCTTTTGCACAGGTTTACAGAAACTGGGTAATTGCAACAGTACAGTATAATGGAGAAATAGTTTGAAAGAGGTGCTCTCACTGAATTTCTTATATGACAATTTCCTGTTTTCATTTAAAGGGATTAGTATGAACCAAAAGTATTCATAGGCTTTTGGAGCGGCCAGAATTGCATATATGATGAATCTGGTTCATCTGCTGTTTCTTTGTGCTAAAACCCTTCATAATTTCATGGCCTCCAGCTGTTTTTAAGTACTACATTCCCATCTACCGTGCCAATGGATGTATTCCATGCTTATGTATTAACATAGGTATGATAGAAATTATAGTCCAGTACAGCTAGAAAGCACAGTTTTGGAGGTATCATACATATATAGGAAAACGATAACCTAAATGTATAATAAATTATCTGACTTAAATATAATCTAGAAAATTGCCCGTTGCTGGATAACTTGTATTTTTGTGTGAGCCTTCGAGTAATTTGGTATGACTATTCAAGCATGAAATGTAAAACAATTAGACATGATTTGTTTCTGATGTAAATCAAGATTCAGTTATTCAAAACAAGGCATTTTGTTTTGCTGAACCTATTGAATTCTGTATGGGATAATTAGGCACAGTTGCTTGAATTTCTTAGTGACTATGAGTGCATTAGCCATAAATATCCAATTGAGTCTAATAACTTCAAATAAATAAAGGCATTTTTAACACTGGGTGAAGGTCCACAGTTCACCAAATTGGTTTTTAAAATCTATATTGCTTCTTTTAGCTCTTTAAGCAAGCAGCTGAGCTCCTGGCCCAGGCAAGGATAGCAGTCAGTTTTTTTCCCCCTGAAAGTGAAGTAGTGAAATTACTTCAAGCAGTTTCTTGTGGCAAAAATTAGCACTCGTTTCCTTTTTTAATTAAAAAAAAGCAGCTTCTTTCTAAGATGTCCTTTGGGTTTTAGCTTGAATGCCGATAGTCATCTACTTACAACACTTTATTTAGTGCCTGTTCAAAGTTAACAATGGCACTGAATAAAGTGAGTAATGAACATTTTTCACACTAACAACTGTTGCAGCATCCCTCACTGAGCCTTCCATCTTTCCGAGGTCGGTAAAACGAGGACCCAGATTGTTGGGGGTAATATGCTGACTCTGTAAACCGCTTAGAGAGGGCTGTAAAGCGCTGTGAAGCGGTATACAAGTCTAAGTGCTATTGCTGTTGCTGTGGTCAGGTGAATAAAATTTGGATGCTTGGCAATTGGTTCATATTTATGATGGTTGCCAGTGTCCCGGGGTCATGGCATCCCCTTTTGTGACCTTGTGCCAACCAAAGTCATTGGGGAAGCCAGATTCACTTAACAGCCATCTTCCTCACTTAACAACTGCAGTGATTCATTTAACAGTTATAGTAAGAAAGGTGGTAAAATGGAGCAAAATTCACTTAACAAATTGTCTTGCTTAGCCACAGAAATTTGGGCTCAGTTGTGGTTGTAAGTCAAGGATTACCTGTATTCTTTAGTCAGGGTCTGAACATTCAAACTCCATTTCTTATACAAAAAAAAAGAACACTTAGTATAGTTAAGTTAATCTTCACTAGTCTTTATGGCTTTTTCTTATTCAATGTGCTCCATTAAATACAACATTGCTAGGGTCCACTCTGTTACACTTAATGGAGAGAACGATCTTCATTTATTTCAATTACTTTGCTCTTCACTTTCCTTTTTAAATAGAAGCTTCTAGTTCTTCACTTCATTATTTTCTTTGGCACAGGTCTGTTTTTACATATACCATTATTTTTTTCCCCAGAGTGTTCATTTTAAACTATTGCAGTGGAGTCAAAAATGTCTTGTGTGAGCTGTAACATGCTTCCACTATAAATTTCAAATAAATGCCCTCCATCAGCAGGGCAGGCTATATCTAAGGATCTGCTGATCCTTGAGAACTTATTTTTGCCGTGAGGGGGGAAATTGGTCGTAATCTATAGAAGGAGTAGGGATGCTAGTTCCTTGACTGGTTCTCCACACCTAACCTGCTGTCTCTAGAATAAAGAATAGGACACGAGGGGCCCACTGCTTATTTTTTTCATGGCTCAGTTCATGTATACGTGAATAGTGTCTCTTGCTGTGGAGACCCATTCACACATTCGTGCTAGCCTTCGCCCTCATGTTAATATAAGCAGGAATTCTTAAAAGCTGCTGATCAAAGGGTGAGAAATCAGTTCTTGGCTGTGTTTTGCATGTGCCATACATTTCTTAACAGCACCTTTTGTTTTTCACAGAGCCATCTTATCCAAAAGGGGATACAAGTGGAACAGCCCGAAGAAGTTGGGAGCTTCGGACTCTTATCAATCAGACCAAAGGTTAAAAAAAAAAGAAAAAAAAAGAGTTTGATATTTTGGCAAGAAATGTATTTCAAACTGCCATTTCATAGTAGCTATAATTTAGTATTTCTCTTCAAGGTTATTTTTCTTACCGTTGCATCAAACTAGATTAGTAATAATAATAATAATAATAATAATAATAATAATAATAATAATAATAATAATAATAATAATAATAATAATAATAATAATAAAGTTGGAAGAGACCTTGGAGGTCATCTAGTCCAACCCCTTGCTCAGGCAGGAAACCCTATACCATTTCGGACAAATGACCGTCCAGTCTCTTCTTAAAAACTTCCAGTGTTGGAGCATTCACCGCTTCTGGAAGCAGGTTGTTCCACTGGTTAATTGTTCTCACTGTCAGGAAGTTTCTCCTTAGTTCTAGGTTGCTTCTCTCCTTGATTAGTTTCCACCCGTTGCTTCTTGTCCTGCCTTCAGGCGCCTTGGAAAATAGCTTGACTCCCTCTTCTTTGGGGCAGCCCCTGAGATATTGGAACTCTGCTATCATGTCCCCCCTCATCTTTCTCTTCATTAAACTAGACATATCCAATTCCAGCAGCCATTCCTTATATGCTTTAGCCTCCAGATTCATATTATTGGTTGTTGAGCAAATCAAGCTTGTTCTCTTATTTCCTCCTTCAAGCATATCCTTATATGTATCCATATTCCAGATATTTTCAATATAGTCTAGGAAGCCTTTGGCCTCAGATGTTACTTCCAGATAACAAGAATAACATGGCAAGGTGATGAAAGATACAAGTTCAAAATCATCTAGATGGCCCCACCCCTGTTAAATGGGATATAAAAGGAGGATTAAATCAGTGTCAGTTCCTACCTTCTTCTTGCTAGCAACCATCCTTGGAGCTTGTCACCTTTGTTCAGTACAAATACATCCACATGCATACATGTATTTGGAAACCAGTGTGGTATAGTAGTTAAGGTGAAGGACTGGGAGCAGAGAGACCCAGATTTTAATCACCCCCTAGGCATAAGAAGGCTAGGTGATTTTGCCTCTCCCCTTTCCTCTCCTACCTGGATTAGGAAGTTGAATCGACCGTCCTGCATTGGACCAGTGCAGGGGTAGGCAACCTTGGCTCTTTTATGACTCGTGGACTTCAACTCCCAGAATTCCTGAGCCAGCCATGCTGGGAGTTGAAGTCCACGAGTCATAAAAGAGCCAAGGTTGCCTGCTCCTGGACCAGTGTGTTAGATTGTGGTCAGGGCTGTGGAGAGAAATAATCTCTGAATGCATCCCTATAGGAGACAATGTTGGTTGCTGCTCCACCAGACAATGTTGGTTGCTGCTCCATTCTAAGCCTTTCTTAATCTTTCTTCCTAATCATGTGCCTGAAGTGGGGTTAGGCAGCCTACCCTGTGCTTCCCAGTGCAGGCATAGGCACAAGACAGGCAGAGAAGTAATATATGTGTGGGAATAAAAACACCCAGATGCAATACATTGCAAAGAACAGTTGTAGGGATTAGGTATGTGTAGTCTAGTGAAAAGAAGGACTAGGGGGTGACATGATAGCTGTGCTCCAGTATTTAAGGGGCTGCCACAAGGAAGAAGGGTTTGATCTGTTTTGCAAAGCACCAGAAGACAGGATAAGAAACAATGGACGAGAACTAATCAAGGAGAGAAGCAACCTGAAATTAAGGAGAAACTTCCTACCAGTGAGAACATCAACCAGTGGAACAGATGCAACCATTTGCTGGAGGCTTTTAAGAAGAGCCATTTGTCTGAAATGATACAAGGTCTCCTGCTTAAGCAGAGGATTATACTAGTAGATCCCCAAGGTCCCTTCCAATGACGATGATGATGAGATGATGTAAATCAAACTCCTATGCTGCTAAGGGGGGGTGGAAAGTAATCCAGGAACCATAGCTGCATGCCCAGTTTTTACAGCTGAATGTATATATAAATTTGAATCACGGGGGAGTGAGGAGAAGGAGGATTGAGAAGTAATTATCTTGCAAATATTCTAAATATATACTCTTGGTAAAATAAAGTCTAAATGATTGACTTTTTATTTTACTAAAGATAATTTTTTTAGAATATTTAGAGCATTTATTAGTCTTGCATCTCTAATAGTTTTCATACTGTTTTAATGGTGTAGGTCAGGGGTAGGCAACCTTGGCTCTTTTATGACTCGTGGACTTCAACTCCCAGAATTCCTGAGCCAGCTGTGCTGGCTCAGGAATTCTGGGAGTTGGAGTCCACGAGTCATAAAAGAGCCAAGGTTGCCTACCCCTGGTGTAGGTAAATAACTGTAGTTCATTCATAATCAATGCTTTTGCCTATTCTGTTTGTTTCTAGACACTGCTTCCAGACAGGGACCTATGGAAACAGTTCAGAAATCTGTCCAGCTGTTTGAAGAAAAGAGGTACCGGGAAATGAGACGGAAAAACATCATTGGCCAAGTTTGTGACACGCCCAAATCTTACGATAATGTCATGCACGTAGGCTTAAGAAAGGTCACTTTTAAGTGGCAAAGAGGAAACAAAATTGGTAAGTTGCCAGGGAGCTACTGTACCTCTTGATATTTTTCACTTATTACATTTATTTATTTATTTATTTATTTATTTATTTTTCCAACTTCTATGCCGCCCTTCTCCCCACGGGACTCAGGGCGGCTCACAGCATGTTAAAAAACAACACAAAAAACATTTCCCCTATAAAACCAATTAAAAACCAAATATATTTATGGCTGTGTCATTATTAAAATCTTTAAAAATTATTCCCTATTTAAAATTCAC